AACGTAATGTCACCTTTACTGTCTCTTATTACGTTTTACTGCCGTCCTGTCAAATCAATCGAAGAGAGAGAGGCGGTCGTGAATTGTTGGCAGTAGCTAATCCACCAAAATTCCGTAATCTTAAAACACTAAATCATCAAAATGAGTATCAGACTGCAAGAGTACAGAGACGCGATTGAGAAAAGCCTCAAGGACAGAAGCAAACCATGGACCAGATACTTCGACATTGCGGAGTCAAAAACCGGCGTGAGCAGGGTATATCTATTCGTAGGTGAGTTTGGTTTTAAAAAGGGAATTTATTTATATCTTTAGCTGTGTATTTGACGTTTGTTTTGTGTCGGCAGGAGTCGTCGCGTTCACCGGTTTATATTTAGTATTTGGAATCGGAGCTGAGTTGATATGCAATTCGATTGGATTCGTATATCCTGCGTATATGTCAATGAGGGCTTTGGAATCTCCTCAAAAGGACGATGACACTAAGTGGCTGACATATTGGGTGGTATACGCTTGCTTTTCGATTCTCGAATACTTCTCGGACTTCATCGTGGGTTGGTTCCCTCTCTATTGGCTCATAAAGGTGAGTACAAAGATTCCATATGTTCGCCATTTTGAGAAAAAAAAAACTTTTGTGAAGGAGCAGCATTCTATTGTGTTGGAAAAATCGATATTTGCATGAAAATTTTCTTACTTTTATGTTAAAAATCGATATTCCATATGTTTTGTAATAAAATCTATTAGGCTATGCAAATTGATCCTTGTGTTAAAGTTATACCTTCAGCAATAATTTAAATTCTTGTATCTTTAATATCATTTGAATTTATTGGACACTAGATGTTATCTTTAGTGAGATAATCTTTTTATTACCACACTTTTACTTGTCACTTTGCTATCTTTAGATAATTTATCTGTTTGGGATAACATTTTTAACTGAAGTTTTTCTGTACTTTTTCAATATACTGTTAGTCAGAATTTGCTAAATTTTAATCTATATCCTAAATGAATGAATATGGAATGTAGCTGTTAGTTTTAACAATATTTCGTAATATATACTTAACTCATATCTATAGAATAATTGAAAAATATACCATTATAGCCACATGTGTGTAGAAATATTGTTCTGTTTGCCGAAAGTAGTAGGCTGAAATCTTTAAAAATAATTCGAACACTAGCCTTTTCCCTGTCTGTGTGGAATTAAAAAAAAACAAAAGTAAGTAGCATATGTGTTCTTACATACTATCCTCTACATCTATGCCAAATTTCATCAAAATCTGTTCAGCAGTTTAGGCTACACACTCCAACAAACATCCATCCATCTAAACTTATGAATTTATAATATTAGTAAGATTTCTTGTAATCAACATTCTAGACAAAATTGTTATTGTCTTTATCTAAACAACTAGCTGTTCCCATGAGGCTTCATGCATGTGGAATTATAAAAACATTATTTTATTGTTTACATTTGTCAAATTTTTAATTGCAAATATAATCCTTACTATAGCAATCTTGCTTCCTTGATGTTGGCAGCAACTTTTGTGTCTTTTCCACATTTTTATCCAAAATATTTAGCCCCTAAGTTTAATAGTGTGAAAATATATAGCCTAAAGCATGACATAAGTGTACAGCTTTTTATTATAAAGAGAATTATTTAAAAAT